AGTGGTCCGAGGGACCCCTGGACCATATACTACCTCTGGCACCACCCCTTCTCTGGATGGAAAGCTGCAAACACCTCATTTGGTGATCAGGGCCTGGACTAGGGCTTCTCTTGATCAGTGGAAGCTCCAGCATTTCTGTCTAGAAGGTGATATAGATGACAATCTGATTGGAAAGGGGGTGCACCCTAGGAGATTTACTTGAAAGTATGTTACCAGAGCAAGTTTTGAAACAGATTGTGTTTATTTGGGGTGATTTTCAGGTGCAGATAAAGGAAGATGCTTTGGTGTCGTCGCTTTGTGGCTCAAGAGGTGGCCAAGAGAAGTATCACTAGAGGATCTGGTGACTCATTTTGCACTATCCTGGTCCTTCCCAAGCTGAAAGTGCCTCTTCTGGGCCAGGCCCTTTGGAAATTGCTCAGGAACTAAAGGAATGTGGTTATTGGTAACCAGAGGCATTTAAGTGGTGTACAGGAGACCCCTAGTGGCCATGGCTCAGAAAACCTCAGGCATAGAGTAGTGCTCCTTATGGATCCGATGGCCTATTATCTTAGACAGAAGAACCATTACCCCAGGGCACAGAGATCATTGTTAAAACTGACAGACCACCATCAAGAGAGAAACATAAGCAGAGGGTTGGCAGACCCTGATGAGACAACAGGTACCATTACAAGACTGACAGACCAGGATGGATCAGACCAAACATTACAAACAGACCTAGATCAACATAAGAGGCAGCTGCTTTCCCTTCTGGGAGACCTCACTGGGGAAAAGTCAGACAACTGGACCTTTTTTGCCCTATAAGGACTTGCATTACCAGGCATGAATGGATTCCTAGACATTACAACGAGAAGCAAGTCAGTTCCAGAAACTGGATTCCTATCCTAAATAACTTGGGTCATATTTGAATATTCCTGGAAATGCTGACTATGGCTAGTATGTGCTTATCATATAGGCTCAGAACTCATGTCATTATTACAGGCTGTGCCAAGTAAACTTACAGTAAGAACTGATTCCTTGAAGCTCCAAGTAGTGAGGCCAGCTCCATGAATCTAGGGCAGTGAATTCTGGAAATGCTACCTCTAGATAGGGCTAAAGTCGAATGTAGCAGAATAGAAATGTCTTTGCTATACATGCTAGAAATCCGAGAGAGAGAGAGATATCTGGGCCAGTCTGTGGGAAATGTTGGTGTAGGCTCATTAAAAGTTGAGGAATAACTGAGGCTGAGCTGAGATCCGAGTCCTAAAGCAAGAATGAGCAGTCCAGACATTCTCAAAAATGCTGGCAAAGTCCAGGGCTAAAGTATTAAGAATAGGATGTGGAAACTGTTGTGTGCTAAAAACTGTGACCTGGATAAGCAGGGTGGAGGCAGATGGATTTCCTGAATTTTCAAGGACTATCTGAAACAGGCAGATTCTTTCTTTGGAGAAGTGAAAGATTAACATCTCTTGGAAACAGACTTGCTATAGGAAGTTTTGGGAATATTGTTATTTTTGCCTTCAACAGGATTAAAGAGGGTAATTTTTCTATGACACCAGAGTAGGTAGCCACAAGAGGACAGTCTGAATTAAGAAAGGATTTCACGGAGATGCAAATAGTTACCAAATCAAACTATTAATTGGTGAAAACAGGAGCCAGATCTCAGAAACTCTCAGAAAAAAAGAGGTAGTGGTAATTATTTATAAACATCTTAGTTTATTTGAATAGACATTTCACCAAAGAAAAAATACAAAAGGCCAACAAGCACATGAAAAGATGCTCAACGCCCATTCCAGGGGTTTAGTTTCATCTCCTCAGTGAAGGTCTTCTCTAATGACTCCTCTGAACTCCTGTGCAGTTCAACTCCAGAGAAGAGGTCTTTTTTTTTTTTTTTTTTTTTTTTTTACTGCAATTGATTTGAAGAAAGTAAGCTTCCTGACAGATAGGTGGTAAGGGTCCCATGCTTCTGAAGAGGGCCAAAGCCTCTCTTCCCTGTACCGGGTTCTGAGCAGCCTCTCAGGAAAAGGGGTGGAGACTGCGTTTTGCACCCTGGGCCTAAAATACTTCTCAGGAGGTTGAACTGGGAGTGGGTGAGGATGGAGGTAAAAAGATGGGAAGCGGAGGGGGGCTGGGGCATAGGGGGCCAGCCTTATGATGGCACACTCCCTGGAAATAGAGACGTAGTGAGCCCTAGTTAATTTCTGAGCCATTTCACATAAAAATGGAAATCCATGTGGTAGTCCAACTTTCTGGGAATATCATAAATTAATACATTTTGTTCAAAGATCAACCCTCTCAATTTTTAAAATATTATAAGCTTACAGAAAATTATGGAAAATAATTTAACAAATCTATGTATCCATTACTGAGTTTTATAAAGACTTAATATTGTCACATTTGTTCCATATCTTTTCTACTTCTACTTTTTAAAGAAGTCATTACAGATATAATCGAAACCACTTTGTATCCCTTGCCAATATCATTCCCTCTCCTTCCTTCAGAATTAGTCAATATCCTGAGTTTATCATTTTCTTGCATGTTGTAAGGTACTGTTTTGTGTTTGTTTTTTCACATTGTAAATATTTACTGTCTTTTGAAAAGGTATATAAACATGAGATTTTTACTATCGTAGGGGTTCGGGTCAGGGTGAAGGTTCCTATACACTGGAGGGGGCTTGTGTGATTTGAACCAAAGGAGGGCACACCCAGGCTTTCTTATCAATTTGCTCAGATTTGGGACAGAAGGGGAAGGTGAGAGGAGTAAGGCTTAACAGCCGTCAGAAGTCAAACATCAAAAAATGGAGCCAGACTCTTTATTACAGGCTACTGTATTGGAAAGTTCAGCTCTATAATGTAATACTTTCATTTTGAAGTCTAATTTGTCTAATATAGCTAAATCCACTTTCTTTTGATGAGTACATGCTTGTTACATATTTTCTCTCCATACTATTCCTTTCAACTTTCTATGTCCTTATGTTTTAAGAAGAATGTGGTGTTAGGATTGGAGGAAGACTCACTAACAACCTGCGATATGCCGATGACACAACTTTGTTTGCTGAAAGCGGACTTGAAGATCAAAGACTACAACCTTCAGTATGGATTACACCTCAACATAAAGAAAACAAAAATCTTCACAACTGGACCAATAAACAACATCATGATAAACAGAGAAAAGACTGAAGTTGTCAAGGATTTCATTTTACTTGGATCCACAATCAAGGCCCATGGAAGCAACAGTCATACGACATATGGCATTGGGCAAATTTGCTGCAAAAGACCTCTTTAAAGTGTTAAAAAGCTAAGGTGTCACTTTGAGGACTAAGGTGCGCCTGACCTAGGCCGTGGTGTTCTCAACTGCCTCATATGCATATGCAAAAGCTGGACAATGAATAAGGAAGACCAAACAAGAACTGACGCCTCTGAATTGTGGTGTTAGCAAAGAATATTGAATACACCACGGACTGCCAAAATAATGAACGAAGCTGTCTTGGAAGAAGTACAACCAGAATGCTCCTTAGAAGGATGGCGAGACTATGTCTCACATATTTTAGACATGTTGTCAGGAGGGATCAGTCCCTGGAAAAGGACATCACACTTGGTAGAGGGTCAGCGAAAAAGAGGAAGACCCTCAAGAAGATGGATTGACACAGTGGCTGCAACAATGGGCTTAAGCATAACAATGATTTTGAGAATGGCAAAGGACTGGGCAGTGTTTCGTTCTGTCGTACATAGGGTCACTATGAGTTGGAATTGACTCAATGGCACCCAAAACAACAACAACAAGGTTACATATCTTAGAACCCTAATTAAGATCCAGGCCTTTCTGCTTCCCACAGTTGCCTTCATTCTGCCTTTTCACTTCAATATACAATACACTCCTCAGTCATAAAGAAAGATTTTCTTTCTTAATCTAAGACATCCTACAGTGCCCAGGTAGAATTCCAAGGTCTTAGATGAAAAGGGATGCTTGAGGTCACAAAGGCCAATGTTCTACCCTAACAAGATCCCTAGGAAATGCCATCTAGTCTCTGCTTAGACACAACCATCGGCTAACCTTGACATCACTTGACGCTGCTCTTAAGTTAAAAGTGCCCGACAATTTTCTGAGGTTTTAGGAAAATATTAAAGCCCTGGTGGCGCAATGTTAAGCACTTGGCTTCTAACTGAAAGGTCAGTGGTTTGAACCCACCAACCACTCTGCAGGAGAAAAAGACCTGGCAATCTGCTCCTGTAAAGATTTCAGCCTAGGAAACCCTACGGGGCAGTTCCACGCCACTTCTACAGGGCCACTGTGAGTTGGAATTGACTCGACGGCACACAACAACAACAGGGAGATCTCTTTAAGTTTTACCCATAGATCCTAGTTCTGCCTCCCTAAAACACAGAGGCAAACAGCTTCATTCTACTACTCAAATACTTTAGGACATGACCACTGACCACAAGCTTTTAGTTCAGATTAAGCATCCAATTCTCTATTTTCTCTCCATGGAGTCCTATTTTTATTCCCTGTGGAAGCCACATGACCTGTCATGAAATGACGGTCAACAGTATTGTCCGTGGGCAACTTTCCAGATTGAAAACCAAAATAAAAAACTGGCAAAGCACAGTTAATTCCCACCTGGAGAGGGTTGTCTTTTTACAGCATGTACTCAAGCATCACAGGATGGAAATCTGTCTCCATACCCTTCTTTTCTCTCCTCTCACTCGCTAGCACTTACTTTGTAAGGCAACCCTTTGTACTGTCATCCATGTAAGATGCTAAGGAGAAGTGACAAAAAAAAATTTTTTTTAGAAGTCCAGCCTGATCTCATCATAGGCAAAAGAGGGTACAGAAAAAGAAAAGGCTGTCAGGTCTGGGGTCAGGTGAAACTAAGGTGGCTTGGGCTATGGGTGTTCCTCTTGATACCCATCATGCCAAACACACACCTAGCTTTTACCCAGAATACTCACTACCTGGTTTCTGCCTGAGCTCTACGACAGTTCTCTCCCTTCCACCCACCAATAAACTCACATAAGATGGCGTTCATTTACAAAAGGTAGGCTATGTTTATTTAGAGTCACAGATCAGTTGCCTGATTCAGTGTGACTCAAGACCACAAAGACTTGACTCCATTCTGAGTCCCAGGGTTGGGGCCCAGACTGGCAGGAGTGCTGCTTGGGGCCCATTCACAGGTTTACAAGTTTCTCATTGAGGGCAATCTGTGACTGTGTAAGATTGGCCAGGTAGGTCACCATTAGCAGATCCTGGAAGAGAAAGAATCCATGAGTGAGTGGCTGGGTGGAAAGGGACCAGAAAATCTGGTCCTGGCCAGCTCCACGGTGGTCACTGAGAGTGAGGACTGTTCTGGATAAACAACAGCTGGGTGAGACCGAGCAAGAGTCAAAGACGGAAGACGGGAAGGAAGGAAATGCTTGAGAACACTTTCTCATCAATACTGTTACCCTTATAGACTAGGGGTTCTTAAGCTGAGATCCAAAGATAGAATACAGGGGGTCTGTGAACTCAAGATGGGAAAAATAAAAAATCGTATTTTCATGCACCTCTAACTACGGCTGTTAATCAAAAGGTCAGCAGTTCGAATCCGCCAGCCGCTCCCTGGAAACCCTATGGGGCAGTTCTACTCTGTCTTACAGGGCCATGCTATGAGTTGGAATCGACTCGACGGTAATGGTTTCTTTTTTCCCAGTCATGAATATAAGTAACAAGTCAGAGTAGTATCAATAGTACCTGAGACAATGAAATCAAGAAAGAAGGAAGGGAATCTCCTGAAGGTGGGCACTATCTCATCCTTCCTCCCAACCTGGACTGCAAGGGTGCTGAAGGTGAAGCCTGCTTCCTCTATTCTACTCCAGACCATCCCACCCACCTCCCTAGCCTCCTTCATGTTCCTGTCGAAGTGATGAGGTGGGGGGCAGGACCCAGGCTCCCAGAGGCCCAGGTGTAGCACTCACATTGATGTTGCTGTTGAGCATGGTCTCGAAGTCATCAGGAACGATTTTGGGTACTTGGTTAACCAGGCTCATCAAGAAGCGGCCCACAGTATTGTCAGCTGACACCTTTCCAGACTGAACATCAAAACAAAGATTCAACGAGGCAGTTAATTCTTACCATTGAGAGGACTGTCATTCACCAGCACATCCTTCAGTGACCCTGGAGTGGAGATCTGTGCCCTCCCCTTTGTTTTCCCTCTGCCCTCCTTACCAGTACATCCTCTGCATACTGCAATACTGTGCTTAGGGCATCCTGGATGCGAGCTGACGCCCCTCCGACCTGCTGCAAGTCACTTGACAGTCCGATAACCCGGTTGGGGCTGAAACAGGTCTTCATAATCAGGTCAACTGTGGGGGTGTTGTGAAGAGACACAGGAAACCAAGTCATCCCATCATGAAGGAGATGGTCTCTATCTAGCCCTTCTGACTCTTGCCACCCTCCCTTTGGACTCATTCAGCTTCCCAAATTCACTGCTCTGCCCTTACAGCTTTCCTTCCTCCTGGTAGAGCCAGCTCCTTCATCTAGTGCTATGTTAATCTTTGATTTTGGTATCCTATGAATGGCCACATAGCCTCTGGTGCTGATAATTTCCCACCTCTAACAATTTCTCGAAGAATTCCCTTTACACAGGAGAATGACTGTGACTTCTAATCAATACAAGCCTTACAATAACTCCTATTCCTGAATCCTAATGCAGAATCATTCACAGACTTAAAAAAAAAATGCAATAAACTCTGGGTCCCAATCGTGATCTATAAAATCAGAATTCTGGCAGTGGGACTCTGGTACCTGTATTAAGCACAAGTGCCACAGAAACCTCTCATATACGGCCAGGGTTGAACATACCCTACTTAAACACAGAGTTTGCTCTCCCTCACTTTGCCTCAGGAGCCCAGCATCCACATTCAAACACATTCACTGGGAATCTGTTTTGTCTCTGAACCTCCTCCATTCCCACTACTGCTATGAGGGCCCAGTGTGAGTCATTTTCATGTAAACCTTGATCACACCTGATGTAATATCTTGAGGGTCTCACAAGGACTAGGGAGAAGGCACCTGGTTAGGAGACAGGCTAATATGAATAAAAGGGATTTAAACTGACCTCTGAAAAGAAGGGAGAAAAAAGCCCCCTCACTTCTACATAAGAAGCAGACTTAAGTATAACTGTGACATGACGGGAAAGGGATTTGTAGAAACGAGTAATTATAAGCCATTAATTTAATAGCAAACCCTCTGCTAGACCCCTCACAACATATGACAGACTAATGAGTCAGGATAGACTGAGAAGGACTGCACCAGCACAGTGTATGGGAAATAAATAGGCCTGAAGTAAACATTGGTGAATACATTTACCAAACACACTGTTTGTTGTGCTCTTCAGACTGTAGTCTTCAAAGAAAAGAGCCTGCCACAGTACAGGATAAAATCAATCCTTTCCTAGTATGGGCCACATCACTGGCAGAAAAAAGATGTAGTAAAGTTGGAGACATCAACTCATACGCAGCTGCTAGAAAATCTCAATCTGCTAAAACATTAGTATCTGAAAAATTAACTTGTCTTCACGACAATGTCCTCCCTAACAGGAAGAGAAAGTTTACTTTTAAGAAATAGGGCTGGAGACACTGGTAGGCCTTTCTATCTTCGCAATCACACAGGGTTAATAAGCGCTATATTCCTTGTCTGCTTTAAACTACCCAAGGCCCTCCATCCTTTCACAGAGCAGCCACTTCCTCCCCACAAAATGCCAGAGACCTCTGAGGAGGGTCTGGGAAGGCTACTTACCTCCAATGCGTTCGGTGTCATAATAGGCATATTTCACTGTCAGAGGTGTGAACATCACCCCCATGGTCCTCCCAGGGACACCCATTAAAGTGCTGGGGAGAGAGAAGGTAAAGGTAAACAAATGCCCTTGAGAGAGGGTTTCCACGCCTAGTCTAGGCTGGAAAAGCAGCACCACAGTGAGAAGTAAGAGTATGGAGGCACGAGTATGGCTTCCAAGGTTCCGAGATAAGAAGGCTGAGGCCACCTGAACCCTAGAGGTCTCGTGGGAATGAAAGTCACTTTTTCCCCTTACCTCATTCCACACAACAAACCCTTGGCCTATGAGAGGGGACTCAGCTTTCAGTCCTTGCCTGGTAACTTTTAGAGGATTACTTCATATACTGTACAATCTTGGTGGTGAGCAGGTCAGAGGACTGGATTTCCCTATGGAGCTGGCTGTCTATACATCAATCTCATGGAAAGAAGAGATAGGGGTGTGTCTTTTCTGGGATCGAGCCCTTCATTAATACCTTGGTTCACATAATGAAAAAACATGGCTCCTGCCCACCAACACTACTGGATTGGGGGCTATAAATAATCTCACTAATGATGAGTGTGTTTACTAAGTCAACCACACACTTCTAAGTCAATTTTGAGGTGTCTTTATGTAAGAAATCAGGCAATAGCCAGGGCTTACTGCTACAGCCCACAAGGACTTGGCATCCTCCGTATTTGTCTTATATATGATAATTAATGTGCTACGTTAGTATCAGACACAGAAACAATACAAAATTCAACAGTATAAGAGATGCGCTAACGGATGCCTTCATCATAATGGGAAGATATAATCCTTCAACTCCCACAGCAGCACCTTCTTCAGCATGCCACTAGGACCTTTCTCAACATCCCCCATCAACTGAAGTTTTAACTGCCAGCAAGCTCAATGTGTCAAATATTACTGCCACTCAACCTTGAGTTAATAGATGCCCTCAAAATAAGGACAGTCTTCCTTTAATCTGTACTACTCCGAGTACTATGCTCAGTTCTAGGGATAATGATGAACTAAGGGGTAGCTCAGGAAAGCAATAGAACATGGTGGAGAATCATGAAGAGTACCATATAAGGATCAACTGTGAGTTATCTAGCTTCTAGAAAAGATGACATGAAAGAAACTGATAGCTTCCTCAAATATCTAAAGGGCTGTCATCTGAAAGTGGTTAAGAGTGATAAGTAGAAGCTTGAGGTAGAACTAAGCATCAGTGAGTGGAAATTACAGGGACAGATTTTGTTTCAAGGTAAAACCTTTCTTACGGTAACTGTTGAGAGACAAGAAATGGGCTTCCTTAGAAGGCAGTTGAATTATACACTGAAGGAATTCAATTTGCTTGGGGTGAGGGGGTGGAGGGGTAGGGGGAGTTATCCAGGCTAAACTAGATAGTCTTTCGTGCCCTTGTGGCCCAAGACTGTGGTCACCTGACATAGGCCTTGATGCTCATGCGGCCATTTTGGAGGCTTGTGTCCACAGTGAGGTGAATAGGGTTGGGGGCCTCTCGGCTGTAGTACTCATGGATCAGCACAGAGTGCTCTGTGATGTCATGGCCTGTAGCATACCTGGAAAATAGAACATAGTTATGGAGGTCAACAAATGGACTCATGTCTACATGTGACATAAATGCCAAACTGGTGGTGGCGGTACGGGTGTCTCCAGATATCTCACACTCCAATAAGAGCAATTCCCACTGACACCCCAAATGCCAAAAACAATAGTGTTATAAATGCTAGTATTCTCTCCTCACACTGTAAACCATACAAATCAAGTAAAAGGCTGATGTAGAGTTCTCGAAAAATCGCTAATCACCAGTAAGGCAAAAAGATCTGTTCAGTATAAGCTACAATTCAAAATAAATGTTCTTGGCTTCACAAGGATCAGACCTGCCAGCAAAACATACTAAAGTCATAGTTCCTTGAAGTAATATGGAGTCCCTGGGCAGTGCAAATGGTTAACATGCTTGGCTGCTAATCAAAAGGTTGGAGGTTTGAGTCCACCCAGAGGTGCCTCAGAAGAAAGGCCTGGTGACCTACTTCACAGCCACTGAAAAGATCACAGCCATTGAAAACTCTATGGACTATTTTGTCCATGTTCTATTCGGACACACATGGGATAACCATGAGTTCGAATCAACTCAATGGCAACTGGTTGGTACTGGGGTGAGGTAACATACTTCTAATACGAGTCTGGTGGAAGGACACCTTAGCAATCACTGGGAGACTTTCCATTTCCCTCCTCAACTTACCAGCCCAGGATGAGCTCATTTGGAGAAACTTTCTTGTGCAATTCATACATGTTCTTGGCAAATTCCATGTCAACAGCCACCTAAGAAGGAAGACAGGAAAAGAAGCTAAGAAGCCAGAAGCCTATAGAGAAAATAGATAGGCCACCCCCAGCAGAGAGAACAGGCCCAGGACAAGCACCATACAAATGGAACAAAGCTCCTTGGGCTGAAGGAGCTCCACTTATGAGCACCACATATGGTACAAAGGAGCCCAGCAAATGAACAGCTAGAGACTAGAGAGGGCAGCCCAGATAACTACTCACCTCATCTTCAGACTCATTGTGAGGCACTGAGAAGCAATTGGTAACTTCCACTGAGTGCTTGTCAACAGTTCCTGTAAAGAAAATTGTTCATGTGTTATGTAATCCTAGGGCTCCAAACGGCCTCCAACTACTTTCAAAATGCTTTAGGAGGTCTCTTCAAAGTCCACACTGAAAGTCAAAGTCCACTCTTCAAAACACCACACTGAACTCACTAGTTCCAACCTTAGCCACGTGCATCAAGGAGACCAGTATTCTCCAAAGAACTGAAACCTTGGAGCAATTGCCAACTCCTTCCTGTAAACATTACCAAATAGGGTCTAGTCTTCCTTCACAGGGTCTCCTTTTGTCTGCTACTTTCCACTACCAGCCCTATTCCAGACCTTCACTCTATGACCTTGATATATATGTATTTTTCCCCCTAAATTTTATTTATTTTGTGGTTGATGAGAATATACACAGCAAAATGTACACCAATTCAACAGTTTCCACACGTACAATTTAGTGACATTAATTACATTCTTTGAGTTGTGCAACTATTCTCACCCTCCTATTCTAAGCTGTTCATTCCTCATTAACATAAACTCACTGCCCCCAAATCTTTTGAGTTGCTGTTAATTTGATCCCATATAGTTCTTAAAAGAGCATAACGCTCAAGACAGACATTTTTTACTAGTTAAGCTAACCTATTATCTTGTTTTAAGAAGACTTCAGGGGATATTTTTGTTTAAAGTTTAAAGATAATCTCAGGGCAATAGTTTCGGGGTTCATCCACCCTCCACGGCTCCAGAAGGTCCGGAGTCCATGAGAATTTGAAATTCTGTTCTGCACTTCCCCTCTCTTGATCAGGATTCTTCTATGGAATCTTTTATCAAAATGTTCAGTAATGGTAGTCGCGCACCATCTAGTTCTTCTGGTCTCACAGCAAAGGAGGCAGTTGTTTATGGATGCAATTAGCCACACATTCCATATCCTCCTCCTATTCCTGACTCTCCTTCTTCCTCTGTTGCTCCAGGTGAACAGAGACCAATTGTTGTGCCTTGGATGGCCATTCGCAAGCTTTTTAGATCCCAGGCACTACACAACAAATTAGGAGATAGAATAGAAGCACTAAACACATTATTAGGCCAATTAACTGGGATGTCCCATGTAACCATGACCCTAAACCTTCAAATCAAGGAACCAAATCCCATGAAATGTTCAATTGTACATGTACATATATATACACACACACATATATATATATAATTTTGGTAAAAACATATATAACAGAACATTTATCAATTCAACATTTTTTACACATACAATTCAGTGACACTGATTATGTTCACCACATTGTGCAATCATCACCCCTATCTATTTCTAAATTATTCTACCACCACTAACAGAAACTCATTGTCCCCTAAGCAAAACTCCTCCTTTCCCCCTCCCTCCCATCCCTGGTAACCACTAATAAATTTTGGTCTCTATATATTTGCCTATTTCACATAAGTGTGATCATACAGTATTTTATGACCTTGATTTTTCAGTCTCAAGGAGCCCTGGTGGCACAGCGGTGGGCTGCTAACTGAAAAGGTGGTGGTCTGAACCCACCAGCCACTCCATGGGAGAAAGATGCGACAGCCTGCTTCCGTAAATATTCCAGCATTGGGAACCCTATGGAGCAGTTCTACTCTGTCCTAGAGGGTTGCTCTGAGTCGGAATCAACATGACAGCAATGGGTTTGGTTTTGAGATTTTCTTCCTGTAAATTAATCTGCAGAGCTACCTGAAGATTCTAATACTGTCCATACAGATCACCTAATAGCCTAGTCTCAAATTCTGACCACAATTTTAGGAAGCTTCACCTGTACCTCCCTTTAGTCATCTGGTCCTGTGATCACAGCCTTAACTCTATCATCATCCAGAAACCCTTCTACCTGTGAACTTTAAATGTCAATCTTTACCACAACCTTCTATCCTCCTAGTTCTGACACATTTACTCCCACTACATTTGCTTCCTGACCTCACTAAGACCAACAGTGACTTGACTTCTCCGTTATCTTCTAATCTACTGGCACTTCCCAACCCAGACTTCCAAGCGCTTCCCTATCCACCACAGATCACAATGTGGCCTATACCCCCTAGTGAATGTCCAATTCTACTTCACTATGCTTTCTTTCCCTTAGCTGAAAGTATGTTCCAAAACCCAAAGGATACGCACTCTTTCTTATTAGACTTCTCGTTAGCACTTAACAGACTTGACCCCACCCCGTTTCCATCTTGAAATTTTCTTTTCCCTAAGCTTCCACGACACCAGTCTCTCCTAGTTTTCTTCCTACTTTTCTGGCTGTATCTTTTCAGTCTTCTTTGATGTCTACTCCACCTCTGACTTCTCAAATTTCCAGGGTTCTGAGGTCTCCTATCTTCTCATTCTACATTCCTTCCCTAGGTCAGGCCCTGCCACTCTTCTTGTAAATAAAGTTTTACGGAAACATAGCCATGCTCAATCGTTTACATATCGTCTATGGCACATATTGTCAATGACACAGCTCCTATATCTATGTACTTGTCCACAACTCTTTTGTACTCCAGATCTTTATATTCAATTTTCTACTTGGTAACTCCACCTGGATGCTCAATAGACACCTCAAAGGAACATGTCCCAAACGTAATTCAACCCCTACATTCCATCCCTGTCTAATTCCACACCCAACAAGAGATCTGAGTCATCCTTGATACTTTCTTCTCTGTAATCCCTCATTTCTAATTCATACCAAGTCCTAGAAACTCTATCTCCTATCTCTCAATTCATCTGCTCCTCTCCACTCCCACTCCCTACACTTTGGAATTACTAGAACATTTTCCATCTGGCATCCATGCATAGCTCTTGCCTCCCTCTTAGCCACTCTCCACAGAGCAGCCAGAATGATCTTTAATTCCTATTCAATCTTAGATGAAATTCTTATTGCTCAGGGAGATCTCCCGTGAGTCACTCCAAAGCAGGCTAGGCTGTCATTCTGTCCTCTCACAAAAATCCAAACTAAACCAGTTGCTATTGAGTTGATTCCAATTCATGGCGACCCCATGTGTTCAGAGTAGAACTGTACTCCATAGAGTTTTTAAGGCTGTGACCTGTCAGAAGCAGACTGCCAGGCCTTTCTTCAGAAGCACCTCTGGGTGGATTCAAACCACCAACCTTTCAGTTAGTAGTAGAGCACTTAACCATTTACACCACCCAGGGCTCTGTCCTCCCATAGTTCCCTGTAATTCTCCTTCACAGCACTTTGCACATTTGTAATTATTTAATACCACTATGGCTCCTCACTTTGCTAGCTTCATTGCCCGCCACCTCTCCTCTCTTTCCTACATCCCTGAATAAGGAACTATTCAGATACTGGACTTGCCAAACTCTCTTACGCTTTTTTTTTTTTAATGGTAATATAAATCGATATAATGTAATATAAATTTGGGAAAAATCCACCACCTTAACAAATGAACCATGTTCATTTTTCCATGTTCAGTCTGTGTATCTTTTTTTTCTTCCATTTTTTTAAATTGTGCGTTAGGTGAAAGTTTACAGCACAAATTAGTTTCTTATTCATCCAGTTTTCCTGTCCCTTCCTGCCTTCTCAGCTTGCTTTGGGGCGGGCGTTGCCCATCTGGTGTCATATACTTGATTGAGCTAAGAAGCATGTTCCTCACCTGTGTTAGTTTGTTTTATAAGCTTGTCTTTGGCTGAAAGGTAGGCTTTGGGAGTGGCTTCAATTCTGAGTTAGCATGGTGTCTGGGGGCCAGAGTTCTGGGGATTCCTCCAGTCCATCAGACCAGTAACTTGGCTTTTTTTTGTGAATCAGAATTTTGTTCTACATTTTTCTCCTGCTGTGTCTGGGACCCTCTACCGTGATCCCTGAGTGGTAGGTGGTGGTAGCCGGGCACCATCTAGTTCTTCTGGTCACGGGCTGGTGGAGGCTGTGGTTCACGTGGTCCATTAGATCTCTGGACTAATATTTTCCTTGTGTCTCTGGTTTTCTTCCTTCTCCTTTGCTCCGGATGGGATGGGACCAATCGATGTATCTTAGATGGCCACTTGCAAGCTTTTAAGACCCCAGACGCTACTCATCCAAGTAGGATGTAAAACATTTTCTTTATGAACCGTTACGCCAATTGACCTAGATGTTCCCGGAGACCATGGTCCCCAGCCTTCGGTCCCAGCAACTCAGTCCCTCAATGTGTTTGGATGTGTCTAGGAAGCTTCTATGACTTTGCCTTGGTCAAGCTGTGCTGACTTCCCCTATACTGTGTGTCGTCTTACCCTTCACCAAAGTTAACACTTTTCTACTATCTAGTTAGTGATTCCCCCTCCCTCATAACCATCAAAGATTGTTTTTTTGTGTGCATATAAACCTTTTCTTGGCTTTTTAAAATACTGGTCTCATACAATATTTGTCCTTTTGTGACTGAATTATTTCATTCAGCATAACGCCTCCAGATTCATCCACGTTGTGAGATGTTTCGCTGATTCATTGTTCTTTATTGTTGCATAGTATTCCGTTGTGTCTACCTACCATAATTTATCCATTCACCTGTTGAGCATTTAGTTTTCCATCTTTTTGGAAACATTTTTCCATCTATTGTGAATAATGCTGCAATGAATGAACATGGGTGTGCATATGTCTATTTGTGTGATGGCTCTTATCGCTCTGGTCTTTCACACTTCTTACATTTGCTTTAATGCCCAGTTCAAAAGCCATCTTTTCTGTAAAGCTTTTCCCAGCCTTCCAAGATAGTCTTCTGTATTTTCCTGGCACTTTGAGCACCCTTCTATTAAGAGCACTTATCACACTATATTCTTATTACTTGTATATAAGATTATTTCTCCATTTTAAGGTTAGAGTACAGCTCATCTTCTCAAACTTTGAATTCGAAGTATCTAACAGTTTCCAGGACTTAAAAGGCACTAATGACCTCATTTAACCAAATGAAATGTTTCTTGAATTAACATGTACCAGAAAAATTTTAACTCCCTAGCAGGCAGGATCTATGCTTCATGCTTGTATAAGCACCGCCGCTATAACACCTAGCACTGTACCATCATCTCCATCTGCAAGAGGATCTTCCAGAGAATCGCTGTAATATCTGGGGCACTAAGTATAAACCAGGGTGCCCTAGTGGCACAGTGGTTAAAGCACTCGGCTGCTGAAAGGTCAGCAGTTCAAATCTACCAGCCTCTCCACGGCAGACAGATGTAGCAGTCTCCTTCTGTAAAGATTTCAGCCTTGGTAACTCTACGGGGCAGTTCTACTCTGTCCTACAGGGTAACTATGAGTTGGAATTGACTCGACGGCAATGTTTTTTTTTTTTTAAAGCATAAACCTTAAGTGGAGAATTGTTCCTTTAGTTAAATAGTTCCACAGAGTTCAGAAACCTTGACAGTGGGGCTGAAGGATTAAGTCAGTGTCTGTTGAGTGCCAAGTCAGTGATGCAAAAATCATTTGTTACAGGAGCTCAAAGCAGGGCACAGTCACAGAATACTCTTATACTTACGTTAAGAATGGGTTGAGGGTGGGGCATGGGATGGAAGACTGGTACTAAATATTTGTCCCAGGAACCTGGCATGTGGGTAGAACCTTAAAAAACAAATGAGGCACAGAAGGAATGGCACTTGTAACAAGGCAAATATAAACATAAAGGCTTGGTTTGAGAAGAGCCATGGCTGTGTCTAGAAGGTAAGGGATTTAGTTTCTCTAAATACCAAATGCTATACTCACAAAGACAGAAAGCAGAATGTGTGTGTGTGTGTGTGTGTGTGTGTGCGTGTGCGTGTGCGTGTTTGGAGTACTGTAGTGAGCAGTTTGAACACACCAGCCACTCCACAGGAGAAAGATGTGGCAGTCTGCTTCCACAGCCTTGGAAACCCTATAGGGCAGTTCTACTCTCTTCTACAGGGTTTCTATGAGTCGGAATGGACTTGCCAGCAATGGGTTAAAGCCTGACTTAGTAAAGCTGTTTTGCATTGGTAAAGCTGTTTTGCATCTGTGTCAGAAGTGAGTTAGACGCTTTCTTTAATAATTTAGTTCTACCAATGACTAAGTCTAAAGTAGCCCTCAAAGGAACTAACTTTGGGTAATCTGCCTAAGGCACATGGCTAACATTTGGTGGTGTCTGCCTACAAATCTTGTAGATGTCTAAAGCCTGTGATAAAATGGAATGAAAATGAATCTGGTGGGACCAGCAGTCCCCAGAGAAAGAGATTTATTATTAACAACACATCTTCAGAACTTTTAAGTTTTAAAAACAACTTTAACATAAAACATCTATTCTCCAAACTGGAACATGGGCAGGGAAAAGATTATTCTTTGATTTGAAGGTCCAACAGAATCATAAACAGATCAATCCAACTGTTTTCGTCCAAATGGAGAACTAGAGACAGCACTGGGAAAATGGGGTCTATCACATCAGAGATGGTAGTAAGGGAGATTCAGGGACAAAGGAGCAGGCTCAGAGGTTTAGGTAGGCAGGATATTATAAAACCTTCAATGGGCTCCAGCCAAACTGGTTTACTTATATTAGGAGGAGTATCTTTTTATAGATGCCTCCACTCCTTTGCCAGCTGGTTAGAAACTTCTTTGTAACCATCTGGAAAACAGAGACATTTAGTCAGTGGATTAAAAAAAACTATTAAAAAAAACAAAACAAAACACACAACCATTGCCATTAAGTCATTCCCTACAGAACCGAGTAGAACTGCCCCATAGGGTTTCCAAAGAGCGGCTTGTGGATTCGAACTGCTGACCCTTTGATTAGCAGTGAACGCTTAACCACTGCACCACCAGGATTCCAGTCAGTGGATAAGGGAGGGAAAAGTGGCCACTGGGCTTAGAGAGTCAAGAATCCTAGTTCCAATTTAGTCACTTGCTAGATGGCATATGAGCTCATTTTTGGTAGACTAAAGCTAATCATACTCGACGTGAAATGCTGTTGGAAATAAAATCACTTAATACACAATATTTATCAACAAATAATAACCACTCATGATGTGTTTTCTGTTGCCCAAAGTGACAGTAAGCCCGCAGAAAAGAGAGGTTTAAGTTCCTCGGGAAGATAAGTTACAGCAGAAAGAAGAGACGGAGAGACAAGCAAGGACTCAATGGGGGTAGGAGAAGGAGGCAGAACGCCAAAAATGAAAGCTTTAATGAGAAGGGGGAGCAATAAACGGGAGATAGGAAAGAGAGAACGTCGATTTTCTTTCACCACTCACCCAGCAGGGTCCCGATAACGCGGGCAGCGCCCTCATTACGTCGCTCATAGCTGTCCACGATAGAAGCTAAAATCACCGGGTGCAGCCGGACCACGCGGCCGCCGGGGAAGGGCCCTGGGAGAGCCGGACCAGGCGGCGGCGGCGCCGAGGTCTGCGCTGGGGCTTGCACTGAGGCCGGGCTCTGCGCTGAGGCCGCGGTCGTTGCCGCTGCTGCCGCCGGGTCTGAGGATGACGCAGGGGCAGGAGCAGTAGCTGGAGTCGGGGACGGGGCCGGAGCCGGAGTTGGGGCTGAGGCTGGAGCCGGCGCCGCAGCCGGTGCTGGGGCTGGAGAGGCGGGAGAAGCACTCGCTGGCGAAGTCGGTGTGGCCATCTTGTCGAAAGAGAAAGAGCCAAGAGCGGAAGGGAGTGAGTTGAAGAGTTTTATGACTTTGATAGGCTGAATATGTACCACGTGAACTGTATCTTTCCACCTATTGGTTACGGATGACGCTTCTCGGGGCACTAACATTTCCTGCTCTGTTTGTAAATTCTTCCGGAGTTTGTCTGATTGCTTTCAGTCCGATGCGCACGCCGTAAAAGCAATGGTAAATAGTTCCGAGTAAACTTGAGATGGTGCTGGGAGAGAGAAGCGATGCAACTCAGTTTGCGCACCTGCCGCCAGAGGGAGCCAGAGAGCTGCGCAAGGTCGCAATTCGTGTTTTCAGACTTCAATGGGAAAATGGATGTCAAACTTCTCATTAGGGCTTTGTTCTTGACCACATCATAAGGTGTCAATAGGACAGTTCGTTCATTCAACAATTTAAGTGCCTACTATGTGCTAGGTGCTCTTTTAGGGGCTTTGTATTTATCAGTGGATAAAGACAAAGATCCTTAAATAGCTTACATTCTAGCGGGGAAAGATAAGTAACTATCCAATACAGTTGTTATTAGGTGCCGTGGAGTCAATTTTGATTTATAGTGACCCCATATGACAGAGTAGAACTACTCCACAGGGTTTGCTAGGCTGGGTGGCGCAGCGGTTAAGTACTCGGCTGCAAACCGAAAGGTTAGCAGTTCAAACCCACCAGCAGCTCCGCAGGAGAAAAGACCCAGCGGTCTGCTCCTGTAAACGTTGTTGTAGGGGTGCCGATGAGTCAATTCAGCCTCATAGCGACCCTATGTACAATAGAACGAAACACTGCCCGGTCCTGCGCCATCCTCACAATCGTTTTTATGCTTTAGCCCATCGCTGCAGCCACTGTGTCAATCCATCTCGTTGAGGGTCTTCCTCTTTTTCACTGACCCTATACTCTACCAAGCATGATGTCCTTCTGCAGGGACTGATCCCTCCTGATAATGTGTCCAAAATATGTGAGACGTAGTCTCGCGTCCTTGCTTCTAAGGAGCGTTTTGGTTGTACTTCTTCCAAGACAGATTTGTTCCTTCTTATGGCAGTCCATGGTATATTCAATATTCTTTGCCAACACCACAGTTCAAAGGAGTCAGTTCTTCTTCTGGCTTCCTTATTCATCGTCCAGCTTTCACACTCATATGAGAGGACTGAAAACATCATGGCTTGGATCAGGCGTACCTTAGATTACAGCCTAGGAAACCCTATGGGCCAGTTCTACTCTTTCCTTTAGAGTCGGCTATGAGTCAGAATTGACTCAAGGGCACACGACAACAACAACAACAATCTTTACAGCAGTAGATTTCCAGGTCTTTCTCCCCCAGAGGGAAACTCTAGAGGGTAGTGGTTAAGAGCTCTGCTGCTCACCAAAAGGCTGGCAGTTGAGTCCACCAGGTGCTCCTTGGGAACTCTATGGGGCAGTTCTACTCTGTCCCATGGGGTCACTATGAGTCAGAATCGACTTGATGGCAATGGGTTTGGTTTTTTTTTTTGGCTCCCCCAGAGCCACCAACTGGGTTCAAACCGCAAACCTTTCTGCTAGCCGTCAAGTGCTTAACTTTTGTGCCACCAGGGCTCCTTGTCTGTATAATAACTTAGATGTTAAGTGCTGTAAGGATAAATACAAATTGAAAATAAGAGGTTTAAATTCTCCCTGTTGAAAATTTGGGAGGAGGTTCCCCTCTTTCTCCTTTCTTTCAGAATTCACTTAACCCATAAAACCCATTGTCATTGAGTGGATTACGACTCATAACGACTTTGGCTAAATTGTAAATTCTTTCTCTGTCTCTTTGAAAAGTACGTAAATCAAAGATGTTTCCTCAAGGACCTAGCAACCATCTCTTTTGAAATGTAATTATTAGGGAAGATCACTACACTACCTCCCAGTTTCCTGGAAGGAGATGAGTATAACTTCAGGTATCCTGCCATAAAGATACTAGAAAATTAACTATTTTATCTTGAAAATATGAATGTAATGGGCTGTATCCATCTAGCTATATATAAGGTCTGATTCTTTTCTGTCTTTGCAAGCTCTTTAGCAGGTTGCCTGTGCTGCAAAACATTCTGTTTAATTCTTACTCAATAATAAAACTTCCTTCTTTTCTACATTTGTGGAGAGGTTTTCTGGACTGGGACTAGATTTTGTGCTTAATTATATTCCCCCACCAGTACTATGAAAAAAGGAAAATGTAGAAGAGCATAAGGAGGAATTAGGAGTTTTGGGAGCAAGGTAGGTCACAATGAGAATGCTAGAGTTGTGTGAAGCCTTGAAGGAGTGGAGGGAGGTAGCTGAATACCCCTGGGAAGAGCAGTCCAGGCAGAGGGAACAGCCAGGGCAAAAACTTTAAGGCAGGAGCAGGCCTGGTGTGTTGGAGGAGGCCATATGGTGGCTGGAATGTTAAGATCAATGGGGAGAGTAGCAGAAGATGAACCCCTAAGTAGAGGGTAAGAGGCAGATTATTAAGGATCTCCTTGGTAAAGACTTTGACTATTAGTCTGAGTTAGCTGGGGAACCATTGCAGGGGTTTGAGCAGGGGAGGGTTATGATCTGTCTTAGTTTTAAAAGGATAGCTCTGGCTGCTTTGAGAAGAATAGAGTGGGCAGGGGTTGGGGGGGAGTGGTGACATCGGGAGAGGGAGGTGTCAGAGGCAGAGCAGGGAGATCTGTTAGGAGGTTACTGAGGTAATCTAAGTAAGAGATGATGGTGGCTGGGACCAGGGTGGTGGCAATAAACATGGTGAGAAATGGGAAAATTTTGGATATATTTTGAGGGAAGAGACAACAGGATTTTCTGAGAAATTGTATGCGATGTATGAAAGAGGATGACGACCCCAAGTTTTTGTGCTGAGCAACTAGTAGGAAGAAATCACCATCAATTGAGATAGTGAAAGCTACAGGTGGGGCAGGTTTTTGGGGAAAGATCCTGAGTTTATTTTTGTGTCACCTTTGAGATGTCCATTAGATGCTAGAGTGGAGTAGGCAGTTGGATATACTAGTCTATTTTGGGATAGGATTAAATGAGGCAATGCTTTGTAAAGCCATTAGAACATGTCTGATATACAGTAGTTATTATTAAGTAGTAGCTATTATTATTACTATAATGATAGGAAGGAATTCTGGTCCTAACTTGCTGTGTGACTTTGGATAAGCTACAATTCTTTTTCTGTGCCTCAGTTTCCTTCCTGGCATACTGGGGATGATAGCTTGGCTGCTAACCAAAAGGTCAGCAGTTCGAATCCACCAAGTGATCCTTGGAAACCCTCTGGGGCCGTTCTATTCTGTCCTATAGAGTCGCTATGAGTTGGAATCAACTGGATGGCAATGGGTTTGGAACATCTGTCTGTAAGGAAACCTGTAAACTCCTAAATTAGGTTAAGTCCCAGCTAATCTGGCTGTCAAGGTAGGTGGATGAAGTTGGACTTCTTCACTCTGACGTTTATACCCAAGGCATAATTAGAATTGCTATGATCCTGCTCCCATCACGCTCTCGGTGGGCACACATTCCTTCTTTGAATTCCCCAAAACACAAATTAACAGCCTATCAGAGGAGGACTAAAAAGTGGCTCTTGTTTTTGATAACCTGGTGTCTTTAGCAACCCTAATAGAAAACTGGTCAGTGGAACTGGGTGGAAGGTGGACACATAAACCAGAATTCAGGTGTGACAGAGTGACGAGTTTGAAGTGAACGGTGTGGCTATCCTTTCAAGGAAGTTGCCTGGGAAGAAAAGGAGACATTTAAGGAACAGCAGGACTGAGAGCAGGACAATTGAGGCTGGAAGGGTATTAAGTATATTTTAAACTGTAGGTAAGGATTTGCAGGAAAGAGAAATTGAATACATAAGTGAGAGCCAGAGGCAATATCTAATGAAATACGGCAGGAAGGAGGGCCCGGATTGAGAAGCCTCGATGAAAGGGATGGTTTTGCAAAGGATGAGGGACATGCTGGAGAGGCTGTACTGGCCTGTGTCCTCTCTTATGGTGCCTAGTGGGGGGTATGCCTAGGCCAGGGTTGGTCCCCTGACATCATCTCATGGGTGAAAGCCAGAGGAGAGAACCAGCCCAAATGAGGAGGTGTTATTGCCCCAAACTGATCACCCGCACCCATGGGACTGTCTGTCAACATATTGATCTGACTTGAGTGCGGATACTTCACCTTCAAGAACTCACTTTTGCCTTTATATGAATGACCTTAAGACCTTTCTCTCTGGACAGGGAAGGAGGCAATGGATAAAGAATCAGATAAATTTTGAGTTGGAGACAGCAGAGAGGTTGTGGGGAGCTCCTATCAAATGACACTGACCCCCCACCCCCACCCCAGGAAGTGGAGGCAAGGTGATCTGCTGAGAATGGCAATGTCAGAGCGGGGTTTAAGCTTGGAGGAACGGACAGTGTCTGCAAGACACGCTGAGAGTGAGCCATCAAGAGCCATCCAAGGCTTTGATCAATTATGGGAGGGCCAAACTGAGTCTGGTGAGCTCAAGTTGTACAAGAACCAGCTGGCCAGGTTTTGTGATTTCTTTCCAGCAGCCGTGTAGCCCAGGGGCAGGAGGAGATCATTGGCATTACCTTTCCACAGAAGCCAATTGGCAAGAATCATGGAGTGCGTAGACACAGGCTGCTTTCTTTTCAATGGCTGACTGAGGGATCCAGGGAGGCTGCTCCCTGTGAACAGAAAACTCAGAGCCTCAGGTTTTTCAGGGAAAGGGCAGAAGGAGTGGGGAGAGAGAACAATGGACTGTCCCTCTTGTACATAGAAATGTGTTGTACAGAGATTACTCTGGGTTTCTGGCTGCCTGTGGAACATGCTTGACTATCCTGGTTGAGGGAGTGAGTGGTCCCAAGGGTGGATCACCCAGTAGGCAAGGTAAACACGGGTTTACTTGTGCTGATTTACTAATCTGTGGTGACCAATTTCACATGGGTTTCACCACATCCTATGGGCTTACTTGTGCTGACTTACTCATCTGTAGTGACCAATTTCACACGTGAAACCCTTGTGAAATTGGTCACTATAGATTAGTAAATCAGCATAAGCAAGCCAAAGCTTACCTTGCTTACTGGGTAATCTGTCCTTGTCAGGGATTGTAAATGTGAAAAGAGGCTTTGATTCTATAGGAAGATGCTGTGGGGTTGGAAGAAAGACAGATGCCAGCCATACCTAGAAGCAAAATGATGTGGTGAAAAATGCGAAATTATTCACCATAGGTGATCTGGTAAGCAAGGTAAGCACCGTGCTTACCTTGCATATTGAATAATCCACCCCAATGGTCTGTGCATACTTCTCTTGTCTTTGTGAGATCAGCAATGCCTTAAAGAGATTGCCCTTTACAGGGTCCACTTGTAGATGAATGGCAGGTTCCAGTATCAGTTACGATACTAGAAGTTACATAATTTAGTTATCAGGACTCATTCTATTTTTAATTTAATCAACATTGTTGTTAGTTGCCATCAGGTCAGCTCTGACTCATAGGGGCCCTCATGTATAACAGAATAAAATGTTGCCAGGTCCTGCAACATGTTCATAAGCATTGGTATGTTTGAGTCCATTGTTTCAACTACTGTGTCAATCTATCTCATTAAGGGTTTCCCTTGTTTTTACTGACCCTCTACCAAACATAATGTCCTTCCTTTTCTAGCAGTTGGTCTTTCCTGATGACATGTCCAAAGTAAGCAAACTGAAGTCTCATCATCCTTGTTTCTAAGGACATTCTTGTTGTGTTTCTTCTTCTAAAACTGATTTGTTCATTCTTCTGGCAGTCCATGATTTATTCAATATTTTTCAACACCACAGTTAGAATACATCAATTCTTCTTCTGTCTTTCTTTTTCATTGTCCAGCTTTCACATGCATATGAGGTGATTGAAAAGACTGTGGCTTGGGTCAGGGGCACCTTAGTCATCAAAATGACATCTTTGCTTTTTCAAACTTTAAAACGGTCTTTTGCAGCAGATTTACCCAATGCAATAACACATCACTTGATTTCTTGACTGCTCCTTCCGTGAATGTTGATTGTTGATCTAAGTAGAATGAAATCTACTTTAACCAACATTATTGAGGTATAATTTATATTCACTAGACTGCTGTACAATAAAGTGTATGGCTTGATAAGTTTTGACAAATGTATATACCAGTATATTCACCAGTACAATCAAGACACAGAACATTTCCTTCACCCCAAAAGTGCCCTGTTCCCCTTTCCAATGCCCCACTTCACCTCTGGGCATAGACCAGATTAGTTTTCATATTCTAGAATTTCATATAACTGGAATAATACAGTGTGTACTTTTTGGTATCTGGCTTCTTTCACATAGAATAATGTTTCTAAAAGTCATCTATGTTGTTACATGTATCAGTGGCTCATTCCTTTTATTACTGAGTACTATCTCATTGCTTGAATGTACCACAATGTGTTTATCCATTCACCCGTTGATGGATACTTGATTGGCTTCTGGTTTTTGGCTATTACAAATACATCTGCTATGATCATTCATGTATTAAGTCTTTCTGTGAAGTATGTTTTCTTTTCTCTTGGGTAAATACCTAGGAAAGGAATAGTTGGATCATAGGGTAGGGGAGAGTGTAACTTTATAAGAAACTGTCAAACTACTTTCCAAAGTAGTTGTATCATTTTGTATTCTCATCCAAAGTGAATAAGGGTTCCTGTTCACAACTGATTCTTGAGTAAAGAAAAAGATTAGAGAAGGATGGCTATTGTCATGATTATCAGAGTTAGAATGCTGGGCTAAAGAGGTGACCCTAAGCCTAGAGTTACACTGCTTTATTGTATTCCTTATGCCTCTGTACGCTGTAGGCCAGCCCTGTGATTGAGTTAACATAGAGCTCCTTGCTCACACATACTGTGCATTTCAGATGTTATTAACTGTTAATTTACAGCCTTATATCACAATGCACCTCTGTCTGATGCTAACTCTTCCTAATCTCTGCTTTCTATCTCCTGGGGAGACTAATTTGTCTCCTCCTGAATTCAATTCCACTTCTTGCTTCTAGGTATCGCCCCTCCTAACAGATTCTGGCTCTGACCTCCAGCTTCTCTCTTTGAGCAGGTTTCATCCTTATCCCACTGGTGATGCTATATTTGGCCTCTTTGGGTTTCGCCTCACCACACCTGGCTTCATCTCATCACAGGCCCTTTTATGTCAGTGCAGGCTGCACCCTCATCAAGTTTACCTCAGTCCTGGGAGTAAGCCCCAGAGAGGCAACCGCATGCAGGCCACAGCACGGCCCATTCTACCTGAACACAGAGATGTATTTGAGGGCTTAGGACATATGATTTACCCCAGCGACTCAGGAACATGCTGTAGAGAGCAAAAGTCAGAGTTGTCCAGCCTTATGGATGACCGCTGCAATTTTACATATGGTTTGCCAGCCTGCCTGTTCTTCTGACTACTGTCTTGGTGGAAAGGCCCCAGCCTTCCTAGCAGTGATCAGATCATTGGGGAGATTGAAGGCCTCTTTCTCCTCCAAGGAGATGTAGCATTTCCCTGAGAAAAGACAGCCTCTAGCAGCAGAGACAGGTATCTCCAACACATGGCTATGGGGCCACTGCCTTAAGGGGAACTTTAAGCTGACCAACCCCATGCTAATACCATCAGAACTGACCAGGGTGTAAAACGAAAGATGGTGACCATTGTGAGGACCTGGAGGCACCATCTCAAAGGGCCCCTTGTATAGAAGAGTATGGAGTTGCACTTGACTACTAAGCTAAAGGCTGGCAGTTCAAACTCACCCAGCAGCACTATGGAAGAAAGGCCTGGAGATCTGCTTCCATAAAGATTACAGCCAAGAAAACCCTATGGAGAAGTTCTGCTCTGTAATACATGGGGTTGTTTTGAGTTGGAATTGACTCGATGGCAACAGGTTTGTTTGTTTGTTTTTTTAATGGACTAGGGTAGGGGATCCTGCCTGTGCTAGGCAGAAAGAAGCTTAGAAGCAGAAGGGTTAAGATCTGTACTCAACTTTGCCTTGGTATCTGCTTCCATGGATGGGGACAAAAAAAACCAAAACAAAACCCATTGCCGCTGAGTCAGTTCTGACTCATAGCGACCCTGTAGGATAGAGTAGAACTGCACCATAGGGTTTCCGAGGAGTGCCTGGTGCATTCAAACTGCCGACCTTTTGGTTAGCAGCCATACCTCTTAACCACTATGCCAACAGTGTTTCCCGGATGGGGACAGATCATAATAAAAGCAGGGAACTCTAGTAGCTTGGCTCAGAAACTCCAAATCCTCCACAATCTTTCTGGTTACCCCTTTTTTCTTGAGAGTTTGCTGTCAAGAAAAACCCTGTGTATAGAATGAGTGAGCGTGTGTGCATACCATGTATGTGTGAGAGAGAGAGAGGGAGAGACTCATATACACAGCTAGCGTCATCTCTTTCTGTTTTTTTCTGCTCATTTCTCTATGCCTCTCTGTATCTCTCTGATGACTCTTTTTATCTCTGACTGTTTCCATCCTTTGCTCTCTGCCTCTTTTGTACCCACTCCTCTTTTGGGGACTCAGTTGCTCCATTGTCGGTTCTGGCCATAGCCAGGCTAGGGTTAATAGGAAGGGAGAATTCATTTTATCTCCTATTTCCACCCTCCAATTAAAATTGGTTCTTATGCATCTCATTTCACCTTCCTTCAGGTGTGACCCAAAATGATCTCTGGATCTGGACCTCCAGCCTTCCAGGGGAGGCAGACCCAAGGGCTTTACCGTTAGTGGCCTCTTTGTTCTCTCTGCCACTCTATTTATGAGGCTGTGTCTTCACTTTATTTTTTATTTTGATCTCTTAGGCTTAGTTCTTTGCTGCCTTTTTGCTGTCTCCAGCCTCAGATAAGGCTCTGGGGACAGACCAGTTCCCCTTCCTGCCTGTTCCTCCGGACACTTGGAGTACCTGCTGAGAAACATGTGAGGGAGGCCTTGGAGGAGGAGGACAGTACTCAGGAGAGAAGCCCCCAAGCAGTCACCTCATAGCTTCTCCCCTCTTCAACTACCCATTGCCTTCTCACTCTTAGCAGACTCTTACTTAGATGCCATAGAGAGCAGAAGGGCCACCAGACACAACCACCCTCGCCTTACTACAAAACTCACAGACCTGTCTTTCTCTGTGGTGAATGTTCCCTTCCTCTTCCTTTTAAAGGCTCATCTTTTGCCTTTGCATTGAATCCTGTTTCAATCCACATTCTCAATTCACTCCTCTGTTACTTCTCTTTCTAATCTGTTACCTTTATTGGATTTCTTTCCTCAGTATTCAAATATATTCCACTCCCTTGCATATTAAAACAAAGAAAACCTTCTCTTGACCCCACATTTCTCAAGTCACCTCTTTACCTCTCTACTGCTTTTTGTCAAGCTTTCTGAAAGATTTGTCTATACATGTTATGTCCACTTCTTTAGCCCCATTCTTTGTTGAATTAACTTTATCTTATCAAACATGCTTAGAGTTTTAAAAGTCAAGTACTATTAAAAAGCATATGCATAAACACAGTAATTCCCTGCTCCATCCTTTCCCACTAGCCCCCAGTCCCTCTTCCCTGAGGGAGAATTCTCAGAACTCTACTTTAGATTTCTGTCTCTTACATCTTTGCAGTTCTAAACAGTATATGTATGCTGCTACCTTTTGATTATGGAGCCTTGGTGGCACAGTGGTTAAGAGCTTGGCTGCTAACCAGAAGGCTGGCAGTTTGAATCCACCAGCTGCTCCTTGGAAACGCTATGGGGCAGTTCTACTCTGTCCTATAGGGTCGCTATGAATCGGAATTGACTTGATGGGACCTAACAACAACCTTCTGATTAACTAATTTTAGGCATTATCTAGGGACTGCCTATTCTAGCCCACAAGCATTTAACTCTTCCACCATCACCCTTTCAATATGGTTATATTATAGTTTTAGTTAGATCAATATTCAGTGGTTACATCATTATTCCTATGTAAACATTATTCACACCTGAGTATTGTAGTTTACTGTTATGTTTCCTTTCTTTTGTTTGGCTTTTCTTAGAGTTAGTAATTCCTTATTTTAGTTCCATTTGTCTCATTTTCTTGGTTCTTATTGCTAGTTTTCCCCACATTTTCCCAATAGCTTTGAGTACAATTTTTCAGGTTAATCATATTAGTTAGTCTGTCAATCCTTTTCTTTTTTTCTTCCTTGGAGACATTCTTTCTGGAGAAATCCATTCCCTGTTAGAGCCTTCAGGGCTCTCAGCTCTCTACATGAGCTGAACAGCTGCCTTCTAGGACCGTTTTTCTCCTTGTTTGGATTCCTATTTCATGGATCTTACGTCTTCCCCCTTCTTTTGTTTTGGTGGAGGACATCCTTCAGTAGTTTCAACAACTTAAAGAAATGGTGCAATGGCAAAGGTGGTCCATTTTCTTTGGAATCTCTTTGCCTCTCTAGACAAACTGCCCAGTCTGGACTGCAATTGCAGAAAAGAGCTAGGGGCTTCAGAGAGGGGGGACTGTGAATCTGCTGGGCTCTTTTTCTCTTGGTGCCAGAACAGTTTATACCTTTGGTCCCTCATTTATTTCTCAATGTTAATATATGGAATAATGAGGTCAAGTTCTCCTCTGGTGAGCAGTTGCTCTTCCTACTGACAGAATGTGTGGGTGTTTCTGCTTCACAGTGCCCTAGGAGGTTTTTCATCTGTTCCAGCCCCACATTGTACTAGGTAGGGTCTAGGTTCCAAAGGGCAGGTGTCTGGGTGATCACACCTATCCTTTAATGCCAGCACGTCCAAACAGAAGTGATCTAGTGGGCTTGGGTGGCTTGGGCTGGGGAGCTATCTGGTCAGAAGTAAAGGACCTATTCTGTTTCAGTCTCAAGACCTGCTTTCCAGGCATCCAGCATCAGGGAGCTGAGCCACTCCCACCTCCTCTCCAACTCCCCACATTAGAACTGAGATCTTAGCAGGCACCACTGTTGTCTTCTCTTCCTCTTTCCTGAATTAGCTTAGGAGACAGCAGAGATTTGCTTATGCAGCCTGAGGCTTTGTTAGACATTGCTCCAGTTCCAACACAGCCTGCTTTTCCCAACTGCCCTGTGACTTGCAGCCAAATTCTCTTGTGTCCTCACATATTCCCGACATTTTCTCTCTCCTATTTATGTCTAGTTGAAACGTTGATATTTGAATCTCAGCAACCTTCCCCATTCTCAAATATCCCTTTGAGCACTCTCAGACATTGTACTCATGAGATGGATTCTCCATTGGTGTTAGATTGTAGGTATGATTCCAGACTCTGAAAACTTTCTATTAATTGTTGCTTCCTTTCTTCTGAAGACAGCCACCCTAGCAACATTTTAGTTCCATATTTTAAACAACTCAAGATCCTGCTCTTTTTTTCCCTGCTACTTCAGCATCTACAAATGTCTCCAGTCAGAGATGGATTAACCAGTAAGTATGGTATACACTGGCTTACAGTAAGCAAGGCACACAAGGCTTAATTGTGCTTACTTATTAATCTGTAGTGCACAATTTCACTTTTGGGCCAGAAAGGGACAGGCTTGCTTTTAAAAATTTATATATATATATATATATATATATAAATCCAAACTGTCTAAGGAGGCAGACAGGGCCTAATAAACAACGTGTGCAAGAGGGAGGGAGGGAAGGAGAGAGAGAGAGATCAACACACCCACACACCTCCCTACCTATATTCCTACACCATCACACATCACCTGGCAAAGAGTCGTAGAGGGAATGACAAGGAGGATTCCCCTGCTGTTTCATCACTCACTTTGTTTGGGACTCTGCACAAACCCCTCTTAACCCTGGCCTCCGAGCAGCAGCTTGCCAAGCACCTAGAATGCAGGGCGGCTGAGGTGCCTTCACACTGCTCTTCTCTCAGCGGGGACCTGTCCTCCACTCCCTTCTCTAGGTTACTGGTCTGAAACTGACTCCACACCCCAGTCACCATGGCCCTGGCCCATGACCCCTGTGAAGCATTGCTGTTTGCCTTGAATGACCTTGAGGAGGAAAACTTCAAGACATTAAAGTTCCACTTGCAGAACATGACCCAGCATAATGGTCATCGGCAGCTGGCCCGAGAGGAGCTGAAAAGCCTGAGTCCAGTGGACCTGGCATGTCGACTCATTCTAATGTATGGAGCACACAAGGCTGTGAAAGTGGTGCTTAAGGGCTTGAAAAAGATGAATCTGTTGGAACTCGTGGACCAGCTCAACCATGTTTGTCTGAATGGTGAGTGCAGCAGGGAAGAGAGGAAGTCAGGATGGCACCAGGGCCCCTTTCCATGGCATATCCAGAGACTCCCTATAATTTATGCTTTTTATCACCCCTGCCCTCTGACCTTGCCTGGGGAAACGCCAGTGCCCTAGTGTCCTAGGTAGTCCCCAGCTGAGGTCTCTGACAACTACTGAGTGGAGGGCACAAGCCGAGGGTGAGGAGTTATTTATAGAAAGACTACAGTGTTGAGTGGTCATGGTGCTCCTCCCCACACCTCCAGTTGTAGTGCCACAGAAGGGAAGAGTATGAAAAAAGGGGCTTAGAGATCTGGGATGGCATTGATGAAAAGATTTCCACTAACCAAAAGAAATGCCATCAGGGCATGTGGGTCAAACCTTTCTAGTTCCTCTCCTGGCAGGCAGTTCAGGCTGCTTCTCATGGAGGACCGTCTTCTCCTGTGCCCCTGCTTTGTCATAGAATAGTGGACTAACATTACCCTAGAGGGTGAGGTGGACATGGAGCCTAAATGGCCTCTTATCCCTTCTGTTGGGGTGCCAGGGGATCCATCGCTACCTGTGCTCTCTCTCATAGGCCTCCTTTCCTTCTGAGAACTCTTACGAAATACAGAAATGGGAGGGCTCAATATAATCAACATCTGCTCCAGAGCTCGTCTGTCTTTAGCTTCTGGCCCATCCTTTACCAAGAATAGGCTCTTATTATCTCATCATCACCCGGGTTCCCTTTCCATCCCTTCTCTTGGTCTTCACCTGTTCAAATGGGGATATTTCACATGAACATGCAGTCACATATTCTCACACACAGAGATTTTCACACGTACACATGTTCTTTTAAACGCATACTTACAGACACACATTAACATGCCTTCCCTACACAGAAATACACACGCTTCCCTAAGCATACTACCATGAACACATATGGATGCAAGCATTCACTTACATTCCCCAAATATCCACACACCCTTACACACTTATACAGATGTACACATGTGCAACACACATGCACACACACATGAAAATTTGTCCCTTTCCATGAAGCCAGAATTGTAATCTTCGGGGTGGTACAATTTAGAGAGCATGGAAGATGAGTCAAAAGGACAGAATCCAGAGTCTGAGAGGCCCATTTTCTCCTTTTTCCTCTCTGTCTCACCACCTAATATCCCACTTGTCTGGCTCAGATTACAGAGAAAGATACCGAGAGTTTGTGCACTGCCTAGAGGAGAGGCAAGAATGGCGAGTCAATGGCAACTATAACCAGCTGCTTCTGGTGGCCAAGTCCAGCCCAGGGATCTCAGAACCACCTGCCTGTCCTACCCTGGAGCAGCAGCTAGACTGGGTCATGGTGAATGCTCTGTTTGATCCAGGGGAAAAGCTCCACAAGCCCACAGTGGTGCTTCAGGGGTCTGCTGGCACTGGAAAGACAATCCTGGCAAGAAAAATGGTGTTGGACTGGGCCACTGGTAGCCTGTTTTCAAGCCAATTTGATTATGTCTTTTACGTTAGCCGCAGGGAAGTGATTCTGCTGCCGGAGTGGGAGCTAGACCAGCTCCTCTTCTGGTGTTGTGGGGATAATCAAGCACCTGTCAAAGAGATTCCTAGGTAGCCAGAACGGCTCCTGTTCATCCTGGATGGCTTTGATAAGCTGCAGAGGCCTTTTGCTGGTAAGTTGATGAGGCCAAGGTTGAGTCTCATGGAGGACCTGCTGCATCTTCTAATTAGGAAAAAGATTCTTTCTGAGTCCTCCCTTTCATCACCACTCAGCCCCTGGCTTTGAAGAATCCGGGGTGCTTGCTGGAGCAACCACATCATGTCCATATCCTAGGCTTCTCTGAGGAGTAGAGGAGAAGGTATTTCAGCTCCTATTTCACAGATGAGAAGCAAGCCAGAAATGCCTTTGACTTTGTACAAAGAAATGATGTTCTCTACCAAGCGTGCCAGGTTCCAGGTATTTGCTGGGTGGTCTGCTCATGGCTAAAGGAGCAGATGGAGAGAGGCAGGGCAGTCTCAGACATATTCAGTAGGAACACTGACATCTACATGCCCTATGTCTCCACCTTCCTGCCACCCAATGACAATGGGGACTTCTTGGAGCTTCCCCGGCACAGGGTCCTGAGGGGTCTATGCTCCCTGGCAGCTGAGGGGATCCAGCACCAGAGGGCCCTATTTGAAGAAGCCAACCTCAGGAAGCACAACGTAGATGGGCCCGGCCTTGCTGCCTTCCTGAGCAGTAACGATTACCAAGAGGAGCTTGACATCAAAAAGATGTACAGCTTCCACCATATTAGCTTCCAGGAATTTTTTTATGCCATGTCCCAAATGGTGAAAGAGGACCACAGCCAGCTGGGAGAGGAGTCCTGCAGAGAGCTGGAAAGGCTGCTGGAGACAAAGAATGAGGATATGACCCTCATTATGCAGTTTTTATTGGACATACTGAAAGAAGATAGCTAGCTCCTCGAATTTGGAGCTAAAGTTCTGTTTCAGAATTTCTTCCTGGATAATGCAGGATCTGAAGTATTTTGAAAAAACAACTGAAATCTATAATGCATAACAGCACCTGGGATTTGGAATTCTCCCTGTATGAGTCTAAAATCAAGAACCTGGTGAAGGGTGTTCAGATGAGTGACGCATCATTTAAGATGTCACAGTCACATGAAAAGAGGGCCCACGTGGGGCACTTATTTTCTGTCAAAACCAGCTTGAGAAATGGGAATGAAGAGGAGCAAAAAACGTCCTCTTGTGGGCAAAGATAATACAGCAGGGACACAAAAGGAGGTGTCTTAGTCATCTAGTGCTGCTCTAACAGAAATACCACAAGTGGATGGCTTTAACAAAGAGAAGTTTATTCTCTCACAGTCCAGTAGGTTACAAGTCCAAATTCAGGATGTCAGCTCCAAGGGAACAATTTCTCTGTCGACTCTGGAGGAAGGTCTGTGTCATCAATCTTCCCTTGGCCTGGGAGCGTCTCAGTGCAGGAACCTGAGGTTCAAAGGATGTGCCCTGCTCCTGGCACTGCTTTCTTGGTGGTATGAGGTCCTCTCTCTGCTTGCTTCCGTTTCCTTTTATCTCTTGAGAGATAAAAGGTTCAGGCCATACCCCAGGGAAACTCCCTTTACGTTGGTTCAGGGATGTGACCTGGGTAAGGGTGGTGTTACGATCCCACCCTCATCCTCTATTAACGTAAAATTACAATCACAAAATAGAGGACAACCACACAACACTGGGAATCATGGCCTAGCCAAACTGATACACATATTTTTTGGGGGGACACAATTCGATCCATGACAGGGGGCTTCTAATGGAAAAGGCAAAGGGACTGAGGAACTAGAGACAAGGAAGTTAGGAGCAGTCAGATGGGGAAGAACAGAAGTGGGGACAATAGAGCTGAAGGGTCAGAGTGATGATGGGGTGGAGGGACAGGAGCATTAGGGAAAGACAGAGAAAGCAAAAAAGAATGGGGAGATGAGAGATCAAACTAATGGGTTCTAGAAGGAGTGGAAGGACAGAGGAACAAATGAAGAGAGAATTAGATACAGGCATACCTCAGAGATATTGTGGGTTCAGTTCCAGACCACCACAATAAAGCGAGTCACATGAATTTTTTGATTTCCTAGTGCATATAAAAGTTATGTTTACATTATACTGTAGTTTATTAAGTGTGTAGTAGCATTGTATCTAAAAAAAAAACAGTGTACATGCCTTAATTAAAAACTACTTTATTGCTAAAAATGCTAACCATCATCTGAGCCTTCAGTGAGTCATAATCTTTTTGCTGGTGGA